AGATGTATCATCTAGAATCAATTTAAGTAATTAAACAAACATCATTTGATTGATTCATCTGGATGATCCATCCAAATGAGCAAACAAACAGGCCCAAGATGATAAAGCTCTAAAATCCTATAGATTAAGAACCACACTATCAAAATGATATTCAAATCTCATAGAAACATTTCTAGAATAGCAATCACTGCGAAACGAATGGAAAATCAGTTAGTTTCAAATTTGGACTATCCTTTTCGAAGAAAGAAAGAGGCACCAAGTCGGATATCACCATGGAATTATGAAATAAGATCTTCTTGACCAAAAAAATAAATAAAAATATGTTATCAGCGCAAGCATATAACCGCACAATGACATCGATGTTCCTGCGAATCTAGTGAAGGCCAGAAACTTTGTTTGTTTTTTTGGCCGACATGGCATGATATACCATGTTCATTTTGTTTAGTACTTACTCATAAAGAATAGATGATTCGTTTAGTTCATGTAGCTAGTCTTTATAATTAACCAAGATATTAAACAAACATGCAAGTTGAAAATTCTATTATCAATGAATTATATATTTTCACGGAACTGTTGAATACTAGTAGTTAAATAAGTAAACTATAAATAAGAATCCAAAAAGTTTATTCTAGAATTTAGTTATGTTTGAATTATTATTCTTCTCGAGTTCCATTCAATAGAAGCTCTTCAAAAACCCAAACTCTTTTAATCAAATCTATTTTTTCTCGCTCTTAGTTATTCTTTTGAACACTATTTTTTGTTTACTTTGGATTTTTTTATTGTATACGATGGTATCCAAATATGTTTTTAAAGCAAAGACTTCCAACTTGTAGAAAAAAGTCGACGTTTAACCACTATTTTTTCGAGGTTAAAAGCCGAGGTTTATTTATTCGAAAAATTGTTTGGAAACGGGTATGTGCATGTATCTTGTCTCTTTCAAAACTTATGATTGAACACGTGCACTTATGAACATTTAACCACTCTTATATTATATAAAGTACGACTTCAAACTGAACGACAAATAAATTGTCAAGTTTAACAAAAAAATCATGCCACTGTTCTTTTTAGTCCTTTTTCTTTAGTTTACATCTATATATGTTTTCATTACAGATTAATTATGATTTTAGAAAAACATGTATCAGAACATAAAGAGCATAAAATGAATTCTTATACTTCGTTAAAATAAACATGAGAACTGTCTTCTTCTTTTGTTCTTAATCTATCAACATAAGAAAACAAGTTTTCAATTTGGAAGAAATAACCTCTTCGTCTACCCTTTGTGGAATTGTATTTCTCATACTGCGGCACCTTTGTATTGTTTTATTGGGATTATTTCTCTACATTCTCACACAAAAGAGTGTGTGAAAAACATTATATATAGAAAAAATTGGAAGATTGTTGGCTTGTGTTGCCCATATTTTATTTTATTTGTCATCATTTTTATTAACTCAAAATTGCAGTCTCTTAACATTAAAACAAAACAAAAACTCAAAATTGCAGTGGGGACGCACGTGCGGGTTGTTTGCACGTGCAGATGTTTCTTGTCTAATTGTAGAAACTTTGTTTGAATATTATACGGTCAAAAGTCTTACACGACCGATTTGGTCAATATCAAAGCTGACGTGTCATGTGCATCCCTAACCTAACCACGAAGTAACGAGAGACTCAAAAAATAAAAAATGTACATATGTAGGTTAACTTATCACAATCTCTATACTTTTTAATGTAGTCCCATATTTGATTTTGTCGACAATGTAGTTCCATATTTGTTTTTGATGTAGTCCCATATTTATAAACTATAGTTTTGGTTGATCACCAAAATGTTATATGAATGGATAAAACAAAAAACAAGTTGTATTAAATTTTCAGGGACGCCTTTTTACCAACAAATTTAGAGAGACTAAAAAACGAAAGCTCAGGAACATCTTGGCTGTATAAAATGAAATGGAACTATAAGAATATTTAAGTATTTAACTGATATGTTATGGCGACGTCACAATCTTAACAATACGTCACATCACCAATGTTAGTTGATGATGATGTGCATTTTATGGATAGTTGGGTACTGATTACGATTTAATCTTTATGCTTATGCTTGAATGACATTGGTCATTACCAGTTGGGTATATATATTATTTATCTTATTTAAAAATAATAATGGCCCCTTATGATACCGATGTTTCTTTTCAAATAAACACTCCAATTAGCTAACCGAAGAATGTGTTAAGATTTCCAGTTAGATTTTCCAATAACGGAATAAAAGCTTTCTGTGATTTTAAACAATTTTTTTTGTTTTTTAAACAAATTGGTATAATGCAATTGAGTATATAATTAAAAATATTATCTTACCCACTTTAATTAGAATTAGACTTGTTTGTGAATTTAGAGAGAGTATTTTTTCTTGTCTTGTACAAGAGAGAAGTATAAACAATCTTTCTAACAGAGAGAAATACTTAGAGCTTCTCCAATCGAACTCCATCCCACCAAATATAGCGTTCTTCCTTCTTCCTTTCTTTTCCAATGGAATTCCAAATACAACTCCAAATTTTGATTTTTAGAGTTTTGTGAATAGTGCAACTCCAAATTTGATGTTGAACTATTCACAAAACTCTAAAAATTATAATAATATTTTATTATTACTTTTAGTATAATATCAATACATTATTTATTAATTAATTAAATTTAATAACTAGAATTAATATACCAAATTATATTTTTATCTTATCATTTATAGTAATATAATTTTTAAGTATAATTAATATGAAATTTAATTGTAATTAATATAAATACATAAAATATTTAAATTAATACACAATATCATTAAGATTAAATAAAGTTCAATTAAAAACACTAAAAACATAAAATTTGGTGTTGTGATTACCGAATGCTATGATATAAATAATTAGTTGTTAATATATTATATGAATAATTAGTATTTATCAAAACATTAAAAGATAAAAAGAATTTTAAATTTAATAATATAAAAATAAATATATTTTTTTAGTATGAGATTTAGTGTTGTGGTTGGAGATAAAAAAAATAGTATTCACTGAAACACCAAATTTGCCACTATTCCTGAATAGTGGTTGGAGATGGTCTTATAGTCTAGACTAGACTGTGTAGTGGTATAAAATCAACTAATAGAAGACATTATTTTAGAGCATGTACATCAGTGAACCCCTAAGAAAGGGGTTCACCAGAATATAATAACATTTTTTTTTTGTTTTTAGGTTTTTTTTTTTAATTCGAAAATCGACCAATCAGGATGCTTCATTTTGAGATGATACTGTCTCTTAGATTCGTCGGGATGATACTGTCTCTTTAATATTAAGATTTTTTGTCTCAAAAACTGTGCCATGAACCCCTCTTGATCCCCTGATGACATGCTCTTACTCGCGCGTGTGGAGTCTAACTTTCTTCCCTTTCTCGTATAAACAATCTTTTAAATTATGATATAATCCCAGATACTGATTTGTGTTGCAATTGGAACGTGTCTTATTCATCTTATTTGTGTAAAATGTCTTCTACCAGAATTTTGGGTAATTAAATTCTTGTCAATCTCCATCTGTTATATTTTGTTTGTTTACTTTGTTTTAGAGGATAATTGTATGATAAGTTTACATTACATATGTTTTACTTTTAGAGTTTGTTTTTACAAATTTGGTGATTAACTGGATCTGTATATGGAAATTAAGAGACCGGCCAAAATAGCACAGAGTATGAGGCTAGAAGTGTAGAAATCCAAAGAGAAATAAGAGGGTTGAGCATAGGCCATGTACATCAAAGGTTTTTATCAAATTTGGGCACAGAAACATAGGTGTTTTTAATTAAAATAAATGAAATAAATCTGATTTTCTGTGAACCCGTCTCTTGGAGAAGAGTTTAACGAATCCGTCTCTTACGCCATGTGTCAAAAAGCTATTGGGCAGAATTTTTTTGTTTGACACTCTCTTCTTCCACATTTTTTTCTGGTTCTTCGTTGCTGGAGAGTTTCTGGGTTTTTGATTTAGTGGAGTTGATTGATATTGAATGACTTATTCAGTTTTGGGCAGCTCAATTTCAGGGCCAGCTAGTTATTTATGAAGGATTCTCCAATTTTTTTATCGAATTGGTGAATTTTGAAGACAATTATCAAATTTTGACATTTGAGATTCTGAGTTTTTTTTTATTTGGTGCAGCTGATTTATTTTGAAAAAATATTTTTGGATGTTCTCTCTTCAAGTTTGGGGAGTTCAATTCGTACTAGGTAACAGTTTCCAGAATCTTCAATTTGGTGGTTTTTTTTTCATTCTCAAATTTTTGTTTTTATTCTCAATTGATCGGTGTATTGTTTGATCAAAACTTATAAATTATGTAACGATGTAAAAAAATAATTATTTTTTATTCAACATGAATCTCATTAGAAGTTCACCAATTGATCATAAAATGAACATAGATTCTTCCTTCCTCCTAAACTCAAAAAATAATAATATTAAATTTTGGGGAACCTATTTAAAAGTTCACTGATGTATCTGCTCTTATTATTAACACTAGTGGTCAGAGTGCGACTAGAAAGTGAAAAATGAGATGCGTAAGGCTTCAAAAAACCCGGTTTTGTTAACAGAAAGTGATTTTGGCATATATTTGAATTTGCTGGCGGTAAACCGCGGTTCAAGTTGGAAAGAAAGAAAAAAAGAAAAAAAAACACTGAACGACAAAAGGCAAAGACAAGTTGAGAGACGAGACCAATCACACAACATTGCGTGCTTCCGTAGATTGCGTGACATCATCCTTGACGGCTACTTCATTTTTTTGTGTCTTCATGTGGATAATCCGCACGTGTTTTAATTCACGAACCTTCACAGCAATGAGAAAAATCCATTACTTTCATATTTTCAACCTTTTTAATCACCCCACTATACACTAAAATAACATTTTACGAGAATAGTATTATCCACAGGTTCATGAACCTTTTGTCTCAATCTATTCTCTATATAAAAATATCAAACCTCCTTAACCTTCAATTCCACTGCAAATTTCAATATTCCAACAGAACCAAAAAAAAAACCATTAACAAACCAAAAAAAAAAACATTTTCAAGATTCTTAAAAATTAGTTTTTTTTTTCTCTCAACTATGGCGGCGGAATCTGATTACGCTTTTCTTGAGTCGATAAGGCGACACTTACTAGGAGAATCGGAGGCGCGACTCAGTGAGTCAGTGGCGAGTTCTCTTACGACCGGTCACGGTTTAAAACCGGTTTACGGAAGAAACCAGAGCTTCAGCAAGTTGTACCCTTGCTTCACCGAGAGCTGGGGAGATTTGCCGTTGAAAGAAAACGATTCAGAGGATATGTTAGTCTACGGAATCCTCAACGACGCTTTTCACGGCGGTTGGGAACCGTCTTCTTCGTCTTCCGACGAAGATCGGAGCTCTTTTCCGGCGGTTAAAACAGAGAGTTTCACGGAGGTGGATTCTGTCCCGGCGAAGAAGACGAGTGTCACGAGTTCGGTTCCGGCGGCGGCGAAGGGAAAGCATTACAGAGGAGTGAGACAGAGACCGTGGGGGAAATTCGCGGCGGAGATTAGGGATCCGGCGAAGAATGGAGCTAGGGTTTGGTTAGGGACGTTCGGGACGGCGGAGGACGCGGCGTTGGCTTACGACAGAGCCGCCTTCAGGATGCGTGGTTCCCGCGCTTTGTTGAATTTTCCGTTGAGGGTTAACTCAGGAGAACCCGACCCGGTTCGGATCAAGTCCAAGAGAGGTTCTTGTTCGGAAAACGGAGCTCCGAAGCGGAGGAGAACGGTGGCTTCTGTAAACGCCGCCGGTCAAGGAACGGATATGGGATTGAATGTCAAGTGTGTGTGAGGTAGTTGAAGTGACACGCGGCGATCATTTGTTGGTTTTATTGTTTTGAATTTTCTTTGTTGAATCATTTTTTTCCCAAAAAGGGAGAAAAGAAACCGCATAGTGGGAAAGGAAAATGTTAACAAAACACGAAAAAAATTCATTTATTCAATATTTAACTCTCCAATCATTACAACTATGAACTATGTATTAGTGGATCAAATTTTTTTTTTGAAAGGAACCAATATTGCATTTGAAGAAATAAAAATCATTCCCATTACAATTGGGATCAATTTTCTTTAGGAACACTGTCTATAGTGTAATGACATTTGCGAATACTTGAGAAAGAGAGAGGGCATTCTTTTTTTTTTCTTTCTGAATTTGTAATATTCAATAATATACTTTTGTGGAGAAGTAAGTGCACACAAAAGTCCAAAACACAATTCTTGTTGACTTCCTGAAATAAATAAGCATTATGGTTTAGTAATGAATAAGCAAAAAAACGTCACCACAGTTGTAAATAGTTCGTCCCTTTATTTTAAATTTTATCTGTGGTAGCGTATTGATAATGTAAAGACTCCCCCCTTTCAGATTTGTTACAGACGTCTTTATGAATAATATAAAACCCAATTAATGAAGAGGTAGACACAATCACAGAACTAGTTAATTACTAAATCAAGCACAAACTGCATAAAACATACGACCAAACACGAGAATCTAATGGAAGCTAACCGCCAAAATAGTTTTATTTGATCAAAAAAGTGTAACCATATCAATAATTATATTTAATTAATAGCAGAAGTCCCTATTGAACATATTAGTTAATTTTAAATAAAAGTTGGAATTGGGCAAGGTGGTTCAAAGAGCAATTTCAGCATTAGTTATTGCTATGAGATTTTGGGTCTCTTGAATTTGGGATTGTAATGAAGAGATAATCCCAACACAAACATAGATGGGATCTTCGATTCTGCACTTTCAAAATAGAGTGAATCTGCTGCTTCTGATCTTTCGTGTTGTGGGAGTTGCTGCACAAAAACATTTCTTTCATTAACAAACAATATTACTATTCATTTCAGAGTGAAAAAAGTACACGATACAAAATGTGTTATATGATATCAATTTACTTAAAACATCAACTTAAATTTATTTATAACATTCTCACGATATTAAAATAAATATAATTCAAAGCCAAAGCTCTTTTTCCCATTTTTTTTCTTTCACAATCCTCTTTTAAAATGATCCAAAGTCTTTCATAGAGATTTCAGTTTGTTTATTTATTCTTTCTAACTTATCATAGTTTTTTCTTTTTCTACATTTAAGTTTTAAAAGGTTATAAAATAAGAGATAATATTTTCACATAGAACAGAATCACTTTAAGAACCCAAAAAATGAAAATATTAAGAAAACGTCAGGGAAATGCATTCTCTAAACCATGATCATCAACTAAATTAATTCACAATGTAGAGAAAAGCAGACTCCAAAGATATAAAATCTGTGTGGGTCATTAAGTCATAAACTCAGAAACAAGACTTGGAAGCTTTGCATCTTTAAGAAGAGCCTCAGGTTCTCTTAGAGATGGCTATCACATTGAAGTTGAGAGAACCCGGATTCTTCTCAATCATCTTCTTTATTACTTTCGCTGCGTCCTGCAAGTTTAATGTCACCCAAGATGTACATCAAAACAAATGCAAGTGTTTATAAGTTTGTCTAAAAGAAAACCATTGTATATTCACCAGATTCTTCCAACAATTTCAGGTAAATCTAAGGGTTTATAGTACCTGCAACAGGGTAGCTGGAGAGGAAGCACCGTGTGAAATCGGTCCAGCCTTTCTTCCATCAAGTTCATAGAGCTCCCCTGCATCATATGACATTGAAAGGAGCAGTGCCATAATTTTAGTATCAATTTGGAAGCGAGTTTGATTTCAGTATTCTCTCATTTTGGTGGTTGATGTGAGAGTTTATTACCATCTACACAAGCTAAACAGATGAAATGCTCTTCCGCGTTGTCTGAAGCCTGAAGATGGGTAAAAGTAAAAAAAAAAAAAACCAATGTAACATCTAGAAACCATGTTAACATATCCATATACAATATAGGAGGTGGGAAGTTACCGGTGTATCACCAGCTGAAACAGCGACAGAATGAGCATCTTCTATTTGCCTGTCGTTCTCAAGAAACCTCGCACGCTATCAGAATTTCCATAGAAAAAACATTAGACGTGAAGGCAAACACTCAAAAAGTGTAATGAAAGATCAAATCTACAGGAAATAGATAAGATAGAGAAACCTCCATAGGAGTCATATTGGCAGTGGATTTAAAGAAGTTGTCCAAGAACGATCCTTCGGCTGAAAAAGCAAGGAGAAAGTGGTGATAATCGTCAGGTATTTTATCTTTGGATCTAAGGAGAAACACAGAGGTTTGAGCAACTCACAGAGCTTGATTTCTGAGGTTATATTCCCAACAGCATGAAGAAGCCCAATGGTTCCACAAGCATTACCCACAGTTTGTTTCATGAAGTAAACTTTATCACTATGCACCTATAATTCATCCACACGGAACATAAAAATGAGACTAGATTACAGAAACAAAGGTTCCTTTTTGATGGAGAACAACAAATCAGATGTTGATCAGAAGAAACTCACCTTCTCCTTGATTTCCTTGTCTTGCTCGATTCTCTCTTCTTCACTCTACAGACCCAAAAAAACATGGAGGGTTTCAAATTTTCAATCAATACAATCACAAATTTTCCAGAGCTGTAAAAGAATTTCAACTGATAATTACGAAGACGAAAGAGACCTTTTTGGTGATGGGGTAAAGGAAGAGAACAGCAAGGACAGGCTTTGGAACCATCTCAAGAAGCTCGTCGTCTAAGCCAAACACATCACTGCACTCCGCTTCATCTGGGGCAAGACCAAGTCCCCAAAGAAACTGTACACACAAAAACGAAAATCAAATCACTGAATTGACCTAGAATCTTCCCAAATTTCGAAACGTTTTTTTTTTCAAGCAGTGATCGGAGAACGAATACTTTTGTGGAACCAGAAGGGAAAGTTGAAAAATTGGAGAGACTGGAGACAATACCTGATTCATAACATCTGGGTTAGCTTCAAGTGGAAGCCATCTCTTAGCTGAAGAACTCTCGTTCACGGTCGCCATCTTCGGAATATCTCTCGTCTTTCAATCTATTTCCCTCTCTCGATCGATCGGATTTTGCAGAAGAAATCAATTTGTTGCTTCGGCTCCGAGAACGAAGCTCTCGTATCATCATATATTAAGCGGTGCAACGGGCCTGGCCCAATAAAGATATTTGTTTGACTAAAAAAAGTCCATTAAACCTTAGGCGCCGACTTTTCTTTATGGTATAAAACTCCATAAAAGCTAGGGTTTTATATCGCAGCTTCTTCTTCTTCCTCTTCTCTTCTCTCACACACTTTGTTAGACGTCGAAACAACGCTGTCTAAATCACATCATCGATTCTGATTCTTATATATATATTTTTTTTTCTTTTCTTCATGGATTTGTCTTAGGCAATAAGGGTTTTATCATCCTCAAAACCAAAATCCTCAAAAACACTCTCGGGACTAGTTGGTTCTTTCGATTCAATCAGACCGGTTGAATGGCGTCTGTGAACCCGTTCGATCTGTTGGACGATGACGCCGAGGATCTCAACCAGCTCGTGGCTAAGCCATTGAAGGTTGAGAAAGCCGCTCCGGTTCAGTCTGCTAAGTTTCCGACTAAACCGGCTCCTCCTTCTCAAGCTGGTGAGGCTTTTATCTTTGATTCCCTCAAGTTTTATAATTGAGACTTAGTTGGATTTGTTTGCTTACTGTTTTGGTGGAGTTAATAAAGTCAAACTTCGTTGAAGCAATCCAAATGATATGGTAGATACTAAAAACAAAAGATTTTTTTTTTCTAGTTTGGACAATAAGGTGCTTACATTTATTGTTCAGTTTTGCTTGACTTCGTTTGGTAGTTTTCTACTTTGTCTATATATGTACATGTTTACATCGTTGCATATATAGTTTATTTGATGAGATATTACATTTTTTCTTTGATTTGAGTAGTAAAGGAGGGCAAGAACGCTCCTCGCGGTGGTGATGTAAGACGTGGTGGTTCAAATCGTGGGAGAGGTAGTGGATACAACAGGGAATCCAGAAACAATGATGCTCCTCCTGCAAACGGAAACGGATATGGTGGAGGATACGGACGCTCGGAAGATGGAGATGGAGCGAGACGTGGTGGGCCTGCTGGTGGACGCTTTGGCCGTGGGGGTCGCCGTGGAGGCTTCAGCAATGGAGATTCCGGTGACTTTGAACACCCACGCAGGAACCGACATAGTGGAACAGGTCAAGGGTAAGCAAGCTAGCTTCTTTATTGCTGTTCTTGTATTGTTTGATTTTTTGTGCAGTTTGTAATTGTAAACTTGTTGTTGAGTAGAAATGAGTTTAAACGTGATGGAGCTGGTCGTGGCAATTGGGGAACCACTGAGGATGAAATTACTCCGTAAGCATTCTAGTATTTCTTAAAGAGGCGTTCCATTGTATCTACGTCTTTTTTTTTGTTTTGTTGGTGTCTTCAAGTCTGTTTGTTTTATGTAAAATGAACTCTTGTTGCTGCAATCACTAGGGTGACTGAAGAATCCACAACAGTGGTGGAGAAGAATTTGGCTGTTGAGAAGCTAGGTGGTGAAGATGAAGCAAACAAAGATACACCTGTTAAAGAGAAAGCAGAGGAAGAGCCCGAGGACAAGGTACTGTATCATCTTTAGATTCTTGGCTTAATAAGCTAATGTCTTGTCATCTAATGGTGTAAATTGATATTTGTAGAGTATGACTCTCGAAGAGTATGAGAAGGTTTTGGAGGAGAAGAGACAAGCCCTACAGGCGACCAAGGTTGAGGAGAGGAAGGTTGACACAAAGGCATTTGAGACCATGCAACAGATCTCAAGCAAAAAGAGCAATAACGATGATGTCTTTATCAAACTGGTAAGATATCTGAAGTCTTCAGTATTTCGTTTCAGTCTCGGTAATCTTGTATTATCATCGAGTGTGTATTGAATCTTGAAATGGTGTTATCAGGGAACAGAGAAGGACAAGCGCACAACCGAGAAAGAAGAGAAGACCAAGAAGGTAACTAGTTTACCACATGGTTTTCCCCATTTAAGTAACGACTAAAGAGAGTGCATTTTCTTGTTAATTCTTTCTCATGCTTATACGTTTCTGTGCAATTTTTATGTGATTTTTGTAGTCATTGAGCATAAATGAGTTCCTCAAACCAGCGGATGGAGAGAGAACCTACTGGAGAGGTGGTTACCGCAGTGAAAGAGTACGCAGTGAAAGAGAAGGTCGTGGAGATCAAGGCCCAAGAGGAGGTCGTGGAGATCACGGCCCAAGAGGAGGTCGTGGAGATCACGGCCCAAGAGGAGGAGCTGTAGGAGTTGGAAGAGGAAAGCCGAGGCACGAAGAGGCTGCTGCACCAGCAATTGGAGACACCGCACTGTTCCCTACTTTGGGCAAGTAAGGCTCTCCGGTTGGTTCTTCCGCATCCGTCTTAGACTCTTTTCTTCTTTTGTAATCTCTCTCTCTCAGTTCGGATTTTTTTCTTTTATTCTATTGTTATTGTTACTCTCTCCCTTGAGAGAGCTCGAGGCTTTTTTTCTTCTACGTATTCAAGTTTAAGAGTTTTTTAATAGTTGAAATGAGGCTTCCATTCTCCAAGTTTGCTTGTATTTTTTAAAGTCTAGTTTATACTTTGTTCTACAAACCCTTGGATATGCATTAAACAAGTTTTACTAAGGCAGTTTATTGTTGCAAGTACATTACAAGAATTAAGAAGCTTGTGGACATAAAAGTGAAAAATCTGAAAAA